ACATTGTGAAGGGGGAACATTTAATTTTTTGGGCATATTGCAAATAACTTGTCGACATATGTCATTATGGGATTATGATGTCTGTCCAGATATTATCCATGTCTATTCATTGCATCCCATAATCACCATGTCCATCTGTCCTGTCATGTACTGTATTACCCTTAATCATTCATCTCATTATGTATTACCCTTATTCATCTGTCTCATCATGTAATACACTTACCTATCCATCACATGATGTATTATCTGTACAATCTGTCTCATCATGTAATACACTTATCTATCCATCACATGATGTATTATCTGTACAATCTGTCTCATCATGTAATACACTTATCTATCCATCACATGATGTATTACACTTATTCATCTGTCTCATCATGTAATACACTTATCTATCCATCTTATTATGTATTACACTTATTCATCTGTCTCATCATGTAATACACTTATCTATCCATCTCATTATGTATTACGCTTATTCATCTGTCTCATCATGTAATACACTTATCTATCCATCACATGATGTATTATCTGTACAATCTGTCTCATCATGTAATACACTTATCTATCCATCTCATTATGTATTACACTTATTCATCTGTCTCATCATGTAATACACTTATCTATCCATCATATGATATCTGTACAATCTGTCTCATCATGTAATACACTTATCTATCCATCTCATGTATTATCTGTACAATGTCCCATCATGTAATACCTACATCCATCTGTCCCATCATGTAACACCCACATCCATCTGTACCATCATGTAACACCCACATCCATCTGTCCCATAATGTAATGCCCAGATCCATCTGTCCCATCATGTAACACCCACATCCATCTGTCCCATCATGTAACACCCACATCCATCTGTCTCACAGCATTAGACCCAGTCCATCCATTCAGTCACATTATACCCATATCTATCAATCATATCATGCATTACCTATATCCATTTATTCCATCATATATTAACCCATATCCCTCTATCCCATCATGTATTACCCATAACCATCCATCCAATCACATTATACCCATATTCATGCATCCAGTCATGTGTTACCTATATCCATATATCCTATCACGTATTACCCATATATCATGTATCGCCCATATCCATCGGTCTATTCACCTATTACCCATATCCATCCGTCACATCACGTATTACCCATATCCATCCGTCACATCACCTATTACCCATATTCATCCGTCACACCTAGTATTACCCATATCTATCCGTCACATAAGGTATTACCCATATCCATTGCATACTGTATCCCACATACATTATCTATATTCCTCTGTCCCACCACATTACCTGTATCCATCTGCCCCATCATGTATTACCTATGTCCATCTGTCCCATCACATGTTACCTATGTCCATCTGTCCCATCATGTATTACCTATATTCATCTGTCCCATCATCTATTACCTATATTCATCTGTCCCATCACGTATTATATATGTCTATGTCACATCATGTAATACATATGTCTATATGTCCCATCATGTATTACATATGTCCATCTGTTCCATTATGTATTACATATGTCTGTCTGTCCCAGCATGAATTACATATGTCTGTCTGTCCCATCTTGTATTACATATGTACATCTGTCCCATCATGTATTACCTCTGTCCATCTGTTCCATCATGTATTACCTGTTTCCATCTGTCCCATCATGTATTACCTATGTCCATTTGTCCCATCATGTAATACCTGTGTCCATCTGTCCCATCATGTATTACCTATGTTTATCAGTCCCATTATAAATTACCTTTGTCCATCTTCCCCATCACATAATATCCTTATTCTTCCATTCCGTCACATTTTACCTGTATCCATCTGTCCTATCATGTATTACTGTGTCCATCTATCCCATCATGTAATATCTTCTCCGTTTGTCCCATCATGCTTTCCTGCATTCGTCAGTTCTATCTTGGAATGATATGTCGTATCACATTATCTCAGAATCTTTTGAAAGTTTGCATTGATTGAAACCAAACTTGTTATGTGACTTTTAAGTTTGATTTTAAGAGATGTAGTTGGAACTGCTAAAGAGACAAAGCTTGCTAATCAGTACAAATATATGAAACGGTTGTTGAAAATATGGCCAGTCAAAAACTACACCCCAAACATTACTGAACAGTTATGGATTTAACTGTGATCCATCAGAATTTCCTGAACTTATGTTACATAAAACATATCGTTCACAAAAGTAAGCCACTCAGATTCAACAACCAGATTAATTAACAATTTCATCAACATGAATATTGAACGTGTAAGATTGGGGGTTGGAGTGGGGCCTTTTGTAATTGAATTCAACATTGAATTAGACACGGACTTTTACACGTTGCTTACTCATTGAGGATTTTAAAAATCTTTTGTAAGAAAGGCTTGTAAAGTGTACAAGAAACATGTATATACTGTTTTGATGAGAACATTCTATTAATAATTTGTAATATTGAATTAATTAGTCACCCATTCGCTAAAACATTATAAAATATTATACATTTTCTTGCAACCCATGAATCACTCATTTGGTTTGGTTGATTGACACAATTCTTTCTATTCTGTTTTGAATGCATGTCTATGCGTTACCTTATTTCTCACATGGAAAGGACGTAGACTACAGTATGGTAAATGTATATAATTATACATTAACTACTGAATAAATAACTTGACAGTTAATACGTCACTCGGTATGACCTTCAAGTGAACTCTGAATTCAGCTTTACCGTATACATACGTTTCATAGCCCAAATTGGAGGTCAGCTTTACCGTATACATACGTTTTATAGCCCAAATTAGAAGTCAGCTTTACCGTATACATGCGTTTCATATCCTACTATTGTGGTAAATATAAATTATGTCTTTTATCCACATCAGCTTGCGCGTGCCGCCCTGTTGTTTTTAGAGAGATAGAGGAACAACAATGTGTAAGCTACATCAAATCTTGAGGGAGCAAGGGACAGTTTTATGCACAAATTTAATTCCGCATTCACTGGCCTAGTATTAAAAAAATCATTAAAAAATATCCAAGTGAGGTCAGCAAGGTCCATATTTGTGGATATCTATAATAAAGGAAAGCATAAGAACATTATTCACTTGACCATAGATGTCAATGGAAGTTCATAGCAAAATAAGTTTATGCACACCAAACCCAAAGTTATACAAGCATTCTTCACGTCCGTAGGTCATTTTTGACACTATGTGATGCTCACAGTGCAAACCCAAAAGCTTTTACTTGGTAATGATTCTGCAAAATATTGCGTACTAAACAGGCTGGTGCAATTAAAAATAGTTGTCATTATCCAAGCTGTCTTTGAGATATAGTTGCCCTGAACGAACATGTTTGCTGCTGGGGGGGGGGGGGGAGGGAGCGGCTTGCTCTTCTTCCTAGCCGACTATTGGTATTTCACTATCTACATACTGCAGAGTATGGGAGATTTGCATGCCTCACATCCGTTCAAGAACAACATAAGCACAAAGCACTTACTTCCCAAATATATACGTAGTTTTAATCAGTAAATATTAATAGCTGAAAAGGTAACACCATAGACTTAAGAAAGTTGACATGGGACAATTTACGAAACTATTCCTGCCACCTGAGCTGAATTCCGTATTTTTTTGTAATTCCACATCATTGTTATGGGAATGGTTGTGAAGCCGTGTTGTTATGGGGCTTTTATAGTAATATCAAGAGTACTACTCCTATTTCATTATCTAAAATAATATTTAAAAGAGATGATAACGTGTGTATATACAAGTCTTTATTTTGTGGGGCGAACAAACGTGCTAATATGTAATTGCTGCAAATTTGGACATTTTACACAAGAAAGTTTTTTTTATACATGGGAGTGAAAAATGTTGTTTCACTAGATGCGTTAATAATAATAATAATAATAATAATAATAATAATAATAATAATAATAATAATAATAATAATAATAATAAATCGAATCATTGATATATTTTCGTGTGAAAGGGAAATTTAAAAATAGATGATGCTCTATTTAAGTGAACGTTTTTTAAAGGAGATAAAATCGTTCCAGACACTTGAGTTTGTATCTTTTTCAGTTGTACGATATTGTTGAATTGCTAATGGTTATCAGGTGTGCCCTACAAATCGATAAAAAATATGGCATCACTGTCTTTTAGCGATCAAATCAAATTGACATCGGGTGTACCATGCAAATCGATACAAAATACTGCATCGCTGTGTTATAGCGATCAAATTACAGTGACGTAACGTATACCACGCAAATCGATACAAATACGGCATCGCTGTCTTACTGTGATCAAATCACAGTTATATTTATATAAAATTTTTGTTATATTTGGATTTCTCAAAATGTTGGCAATATTAAACATGTCATGCATGATGTTTCAAAGCGAGTAAAAGTACGTGGCATGGAAAAAAAATGAACCTGTAAGCAAAATATGTATTATAAGTAATAAAAGTAATTACTGAACATCTATAATTATCTCTGCACATGATTATCATCACATTCGTACTTTCTTTTTCATAAATAGATGTTCTAGTCATAAATGTAATACAGAGACAGGTGGGAAACGAAGGTATCTTTTTCTTCATGATATTTTTTCCCCCAAGAAATAATTTAATATTGATGAAGTATACTTGCTGTTTTTAGGAAAACGTTTAGTTTAATGTCATCGCAAAGTCCACAGTTTATCAACTAAACAAAAAGCTGAGCATAATGTCTCATAAGGGTATTGCTCTCCAATATATATATATATATATATATATATATATATATATATATATATATATATATATATATATATATATATATATATATATATATATATATATATATATATATATAATTTGTACATATCATTCTATTATAGGCCAAATTTATAAATTATCTAAATAAATAATTTTGAATTGTGAAAGTTTGTACTTTTAGTACCACTTGTGGAGAGATATGGCATTGTAACCACTTCTTCAGCTATACAATACCGTTCCGGTGGCTTAAGTGGTTAGAGCGTCCGCCTCAGATGCAAAAGGTTGCGGGTTCGAGCCCCGGCTGACTCTACCAGTGCAAAGTAATGCAGTATCGGATGAAGGGTTTTTAAAGTACGTTTCAACATTTAATGAATATGATTAAACATTTTTTTGAAAGACTCACTGACAATTAATTTATCTGAAAGTGAGTTCTACCGTGCTTGTGTGACTTTCTTAGGACATATTGTGGGACATGGTCAAATAAAACTTATTGACGCAAAAATGAAGGCTATATCTGATTTTCCTGTGCCTGTCAGTAAAAAGCAATTAATGCGATGTTTGGGTATGGCCAGATACTATCGAAAGTTTTGTTCAAATGTTTCCAATATTGCTGAACCTCTGACAAATTTGTTAAGTAAGAGGAATAAGTTTTTCTGGACCGGAAAATGTCAAGAAGCTTTCGACCTGTTGACACAATACTCAAAAGTGCGCCGGTTCTAACAGCTCCAAATTCCAATTAGTCTTTTAAATTGTCTGTGGATGCAAGTGATGTTGGGGTTGGAGCAGTATTAATTCAGGAAGACAGTAATGGCATTGATTACCCAGTGTGCTATTTCTCCAAGAAATTAAATAAGCACCAAAGAAATTACTCAACAATCGAGAAGGGATGTTTAGCTTTAATTTTGGCATTGCAACATTTTGAGGTTTACATTAGCTCGGCTCCTTCTCTGGTTGTTGTGTATAGGGATCACAACCCCCTTACTTCCATCGACAAGATGAAAAACAAAAATAAAACATTATTAAGGTGGAGTTTGTTTTTGCAAGAGTATAATCTGAACATCAGGCACATCAAAGGAAAAGACAGTTTGATTGCAGATGCACTTTCCCGTGTATATCAATATTTTATCATATACACATTTATATAATTCATAAGAATATTCTTATATGATATTCTTTACAGCATGTATAAATTGCACATGGTAACAAGAAATCTTTATCATATACATCTTTTTCTTTATGAGGGGAAGTGTTACGTATATGTGATTAATTGCTTGTGTGTAAGGTTTACAATTCTTTTTATTTCATTTATGTTTCATTGAATTTAATTGCAATAAATATTTTTACTCGTATTCGTGATTCTACTTTTAGTAGTGAGATATATTTTAATCACACAGTTGTTTACTTAAGACGAAATAGTAATACGCGAGAACTGACAATGAATCCGTCTTACCTTGGTAACAAGATCAACAGGAAGTTAAAGTGATTGGTCAGCATCTCGGACATACTTTCTTCGCGTGATCAATGTTTGTAAACAGCCTTTTTATGATTGTTTTTTAGTGGAGTGACATTGGCCTACGGGTAAATTTTTTGCGTATTAAGAGACCACGTGACCAATTTCGCGAGATTTGAAGTGATGTTTTTTGAGTTCAAATGCTCATTCTTAATATTGGTTTGGGCAGAGTCATTCAAAACCTTGAAGGAACAAGGTGTATATATTTTTTTAATTTGTTCCCAAGAATTTTTGTTATTCGACTGAGTTTTTGGATTTTAATAATTTATTCCCCTGGAAATTTAACAAGTTGACTCTGTAAAAATTTCTGAAAGATATTCAAGGAAATTAATTCTGGAATTATTCTGAAACATAGCCTGTGATTCAAGTGAGGAATTATTGTCATTCATACCTTGGACCACATCTAACGTCATTACCTTTCATATTTGTACGTCTGGATTAGTATAGGACTATTTATTGATAGGACTCGTGTTTTCATTCTTAGTATCCAATTTTGGATTATATTTACAGACTGTAAGTCCTATTTACCAATTTTTACATGTTGTCTAGGTAAAACATTCTTTTGTTAAAATATACAAAGCTTGTTGGCTTTCACTTTTTTCTTTGATACTGAGTACGAGACCTTGTCACGTAACACTATCAGATTCATATTACGTACCTACCTGCCCACAGTAGCGCATATTGAGGTCAGCCACTTAGTATATAGTAAAGATTGACCATGAAATACAAAAAAGGGACATAGAAATAGGGGTATAAAATCAGCATACTTAGCAACACTTTGAGGACACTATAGAGACAAAAAGTAGACATACAAATCCAATGGATATCAAGTGTAGCTACCTAATCAAATTTATATATATCCCATCTATAAATATCTACAAGATCTCATGCTCTGTTCAGCTAAACCTCGGAGCCTCTCAAACAGATCGCTTTGTCTTACTTACCGACACCAAATACGACACAATACAAACAACAAAAATAAATAGGGACTATTAAGGGACCTTAACAGATACACATTTAGGGACTTTGTATGGACTCTAAAGCTACGCAATAATTTTAATCCTCATAGCTATATCATACCTAGTCATATGTCCCTAACTACACAAATATTCTAAAGCATTATGGATCACATAGACTAGCTCAGCTGACTGCTCCAATCTATAAATAACTTACGTATAATTAACTACAAGATCACCTGTTCTGTTCTGTTCAGCTGAAGCTCGGAGTATTTGTCTGTTTGTTTGTTTTCTTTTTGTGTGTATATGTGTGTGCGCGTGCGTTTGTATGTGTATTTCTGCTTGCCTTTTCCCTTAATAAAAAATAATTTTCCGTATGCACAACAAATGGTGTATGTGTGTACGTATGCGTTTGTGTGTGTTTTACGTGTGTACACGTACGTTTGTGTGTATATGTTTATTTTCGTTTGTGTGCGTGCGCGTACGTATGTGCGCGTCTGAGATCTTGTATGTGTACTCACGTACGTTTGTGTTTGTGTGCTTTGTCTTTCCCTTAACAATAAACCCTTGTCTCTGCTTAATGTGTTTGTTTATTTACATTTTATCTCTTAGCAAAAAAGTGTGAGTGTATGTATGTTTTTGTATGCATGTGTTCGTTTGTATGTGTCCATTTTATTTGTGTATGCGCGTACGTTTGTATGTGTTTGTTTCTTTCCCTTAACAAAAAGCTTATCCTTTAACAAAAAAGTGTATATATGTGCTTTTGTATGCACACGTTCATGTGTGTATGTATTTTGTTTGTGTATGTTTCGTTATTTGTGTTCGCGCGCACATTTGCATGTATTTGTGTTTGTTTCTCCTTAACAAAATCCTTGTCCCTTAACAAAATATGTGTACATGTGAATATGTACGTTTGTATGTGTTTTGTGTTTATTTCCCTTACCTAAAAGCTTATTCCTTAACAAAAAAGTATGTGCATGTATGTGTCTTTATGCACGCGTTCGTTTGTGTGTACTTTTGTGTGCGCGCACGTACGTGTGTGCGTGTGTCTTTGTCATTATAAAACTCCATTTATCCCTATCAAATTCATATCACCTACCAACCTACCTACATACAGACGTATTCATATCAGCAACTTGCAACACTTGCCATTATTCCTCTAGTTTCCAGTACAGTGACGTCATTGAAGCTAGAAATTTTGAGGCTATAAATATAGACCTGGGTTTTTCCAATGGGAATTTACACAGGTTGCATCTATAAATAGATGCACGAATATTTTTTCAACGATCGTCACACAAGCTGAGACTATAACTAATTACTAGGTTTATCCATTTTAGTCTAAACCAATGTAACCTAATGTTCAAGGATATATTTAGTCTCAGTTAAAGTTTGGGACAATTTGGCAATTTTAGAGTAACTTTTAGTCACGTTCATTTTAGCATTGATCTTTTCCTTGATATTAGCTATTTATAGCATAAGTATAATTACGCAAATTTATGAACAGTGCCAACATAATTTCAGGTTTAGATAATGCTGTATATACAAACCACGGGCTTGTGATAGTAAAAGTTTGTGAGTGTCTTTGTTGTGTATGGCTTTTTTTCCTATCATTATTATTCATATAATTATCACTAGGTAATTAATAATTACTATAATAAGCATAACTACTTACTCCAGGTAAATAACTTTGGAAAGGGCTTGAATCATGTTAAGGTGACCAAAACATTAACATTTAGCGAATCCTTTGAAACAAAATTAATTTTAAAAATAGAACTTTTTTTGTTTTGTGACTTGACATAGCCATTGGTGTGTATATAAGTACAATTCAAGTCTCAATTTCTCCTGAACTGAAGGCATGAGTGTTGTTGTTGTTATAGGGTTTAACACCATTTTCAGCACAATATAGGCTATACATGGCGGCCAGTATTAATGGTGGAAGAAGAACCCTGGAAAACTTCGAGAGGAACCACCAACCCACGAGAAGCAACTGGCAGGATCTCTCACTTACCCACGTTAGCCGAGTCTGGACTCGAACTAACGCAGACAAAGGTGAGACGGCAGTGATCCGTAACGATAAGCGCTTTAGACCACTCACCTACTCGAGGCCTCTGGCATGAGTGTAATTATTGGTAAATAAAACCCAGATATTATTAGATAGAAAACTAGTAGACAGATACTATAACGTCTATGCCATTAAAAATCACAACACAACAAGGCAAGAAAAGTGATTTAAAATGACGAATCACTACCTCAAATGTTTGTCCTTTCAGACACGTATAACCAAGGAAACGTCAAAACCTTCGAGATAGTTTAAATTGCAGGAAACATTCATCTGGAATCAGAGCATGTAAAACATGTTTTCTTGTTACAGCTGGAACACTGAAGAGAACTAAGAACATTTAATTTATTTAAGCACTTTTATTTGCATAAATTAAAAAATACATATATACACAACAATAGCGTAGAGTACTCGTCCATTTGTGCCATACGATATATTGTCCTGCCTGCAATATCTAGAATATTCCATGGATTACATTCAGACTTTCGAAATGAATGAATGAAAATACCAATTTTTGTTTTACACAAGTAGGTTTTATTTTAAAATGAACGCGCGATGGTTGTCACTTGTTTATGATCATGTCAAAAAGAGAATAGTCAAATTTTTTAAACTTGTATGAGAAACGGCATACATGCTTTAGGTGTAATTCATCACATATAGAATGAATAGCAATTAATATTGCGAGCAACAAATATCCTATCGAAATATGGACGCATGCTCAGCATGTGCGGGATGGCCATGATAACGGCGTTGTATGAGGAAATATTCATGAACATAAAAAAGATTAGCACTA